CCTGTGTACACTGTGTGTGCCAGGTGACTTTGGCTGGCTGGAGCTGTATCTGGAGTGGGCTGGGGTTCCTGGGGCACTCTGTGCTGGGGCTGCCCTGGAAGGATGGTCAGCATGGAAGTGGGCATGGGATAGGGTGGTCCTGGGGCTTTCCACTCAGGGTGTCCTGGCAGGACAGCTGAAGTTGAGGGGAGTGCAAGCTAGAGGGTCCCAGATCTCTCTTTGCAGAGGGTGCTCTGGTGAGACAGCTAAAGCTGAAGTGGATGTGGGCTGGTCCCTGGGTTCTCCACACAGATGGTGCCCTGGCAGGATTGCTGAAGCTAAAATGGGAACAAGCTGGTATGTCTGGGGGTACTTAGTGCCGAGGCGCCTTGGCAGGGCAGTTGGAGCCATGGCTTGTGTGGTCCATGGTGTCCTGTAGTGCTCTCTGCCAAGGGTGCCCTAGCAAGCTGTCTGGAGCCAAAGTGGTATGGGCCTGTAGTGTTTTGCAGTGCTTTGTGCCTATGTTATGTTGACACGACAGCTGGAGCTGTAGTGAGTGCCCAGCAAGGGTTCCTTGCAGTTGTGACACACTGGCGCCACCTGGATGGGATGGCGATGTTTGGTGTGGTTTAGGGACCCAGTGCTCTCTGAGGCAGTAGGCTGGCTGTGGCACCTGGAACCCTACTCCCTTTTGCACTATCAAGGTGGAGGATGGATGTAAACCATGGCACTTGCCAGCCCCTCCCAATTGGAGAGAGTTCCGGGAGCTCCCCCATCATTTGGTGGAGTTGTATGCTGAATCTTTTATATACTAATTGCTTTTTTAAACCACAGCTTTTTCCTGTGCCCCAGGGCAGAACAATCTGCTCTTGTATAGTCCCTTCATACTATCCCTCCCCACTTCAGTTCACAGCATTGGAGGTAGGGGTTCTCTTCCTTACAGTGTCTGGTTTCTCTGTCTCTCTTGCCATTTTTTATGTGTTCTGTGTTTTGTTGTGTAGCAGCTACTCAGTCAGCCCTCAGTTTTTTGGAGGAATTGCTGTATAAGTAAGTGTAGATTTGGTGTGTCTGTTGAGGGGGAAAGTTCAGCATCTTCTTAAGTTGCCATCTTGGACAGGACCCTTACTTATTGTCACATTTTAAATTTGTGGTATCTAATTGTGTTTTTTATTATATCTCCCTGATTACTAATGAATATGATCATTCTAAATTTTTTCTTACCCTTTGTGGTGCTGTTTTTGTGAGTTTCTGTTCCTATCTCTGCACATTATTTTCTAATAGATTATTCATCTTTTTCTCACTGATTTGTGGAAGTTATTTATACATTTTGCTTACTAGTTCTTTGTGAGTTAGAGGGATCACAAATATTTTCCTCTAATTTTTTTGTATGAGTAAAATTTTAATTTTACTGTAGTTGGACTGTCACTTTTTTTTTCTTTAGTTTGTACATTTTATGTAGTAAGGAGTCATTCTCTATCTCAAAGTCAGGAAAGTATACTTTAATATTCTCTAATTTGTAAAGTTAGAATTTTTAAAATTTGTAATTCATCTTGAATTTTTCTCCTTTATTTTATTTTTCTATGGTTTTATTGAGGTGTTGTTTTTATAATGTGAAGTTTACCCACTTGAAATGTATAATCATTTGTTTGTAGCATGTCTATAGAGTTTTGCAACTCTCACCATAATTTACTTTTAGGTATTTCATTATCTTAAAAAGAGACCTTGTATCCATTAGTAGTCATTTCCATTTCCCTCTGCCCCTAGTGCTTTGCATCCACTTAATCCACTTTCGTGTCTGTTCTGGACATTTCATATAATCAGGATCAGATAATATGTGGTCTTTTGACTGACTTCTTTCACTTAGCATAATGTTTTTGAGGTTTATCCATATTGTAGCATGTATCAACACTTTATTTCTTTCTGTGACTGAAAAACTGGGCAGGGTTTTGCACACACAGATAATAGGTGAATGAGAGAGATCTGTGGTAAAGTCTTAAGGAACTGGAGAACCTTCATGAAACTTTGAAAACTAACCAAACAAAGCTCCTTTCTAAGACCAGTTCTCACAGTGAGAAGCAACTGAGAATACAACTGACCACCTCTGAAGAATACAGACAAAGGAAAGAGAAGATCCAGATAAAAGTGGTAGACAGGAACAGAGACAAGTTACCAGAAAACAAAGAACTATATTTTTGAACCTAATTTCTAATACTGAAGTATTAGAAATGAAAGGAAATTTATTTTAGAAATGAGGACAGCTTAGAAGTAAAACAAGAACAAATAAACATAACATAACATAGTACCTTGAGAGAGAAAGATGTTGAAAAGGAAGAAACATTAAAAATAAAAAGGGTAGGGAAGAGGTGTAAAAAGAATTTGACAGAGGGGCTCAGTCGATTAAGCATCTGACTCTTGATTTCAGCTTAGGTCTTGATCTCACACACAGTTCATAAGATTGAGCCCTGGGCGGCTGGCTCTGCACTGACAGCATGAAGCCTGCTTGGGATTCTCTCTCACCCTCTCTCTCTTTCTGCCCCTCCCCCACTTGCTCACATACTCGCTCTTTCTAAATATTAGGAAAAAAAATTGGGGGGTGGCTTCTGGGTGACTCAGTTGGTTAAGTGTACAACTTTGACTCAGGTCATGGTCTCGCAGTACGTAGGTTTGAGCCCTGCGTTGAGCTCTGTGCTGACAGCTCGGAGCCT